CAAGTGGTAGAGTGCTTGCCTAGCAAGCAGGAGGCTCTGAGTTCAAACCCGAGTACCAAAATAAAAAAAAAAAAAAGAGGCTGAACATTGATGGGTTGTTTGCAGACACACTGAAGTCACCAGAATGGGAAGAAAGAGTGAGCCAGGTGACACTGGAGGAAGATGGAACTGGTCTCCAGTGAAGGTGGGAGAGTAATAGTCTAATGGGGCCAGAAGGAACTACGTGCCTGCCCTCCACACCTGACCTCAAGATGCACAGGTTGTGGGAGAATGAGAAGCCTACATGGCAATGGCAGCTGGCTCAGTTGTCCCCAGGGGAGGGTTAGGTTTTGGTCAGGGTGAAGAGGCAGATGACACAGGAGTGTTTGGAAGGAGGACTCCAGCAGGATGGGTCCAAGGCAGACAGCACAAAGTAGAGATGCATGCAGAGGAAAGAAGATGTGACTGGAAGATGGTGACAGGGCAAATTGCTATTATCACTTTCAGCATTGTCTCACTAGACCTGACCCTGGGGTATCTTGATTTTGGTTATGTTTAAGTATAGCATCTGTAGCTGGGCCTTGTGGGTTTCCAGAAGGCTGGTCACTGATGGCTCTGTTTGCTGAGAAGACTGGCACAAGGGAGAGGAAGGAGACTAACATGGCTTCCAGGTGTCCAGAAAGTGTGATAAGAAGGTGGCAATAACATGGGAGCGAGCGAGACCATGCAGGGACAGCGCACGTGTAATGTGTGGAATGACAACAGAGATAGTCGGGATGCAATCTCAGAGATGGGCCAAGAATTTAGCTAAGGCAAGTGAGAACAGTTATAGAGGTAAGAGATGATGGGGACAGTGTTTCAGGAAAGGATGGGTCAACATTATCAAGAAAGATGACAATTGAAAAATGCTTATTGAGGGGTAGAATTATTTTTCCATAATATTTTATCAGTCAGCTTTCCACCAATGTGACAAAAAAAACATCAACTTAAAAGGAGAAAAAGTTAATTTTGGTTCACACTTTCAGTCCATGGTCTGTTGGGTCGGGTCTGTTGAATTGGGCCTGTGGTGAGGGAGGGAATATGGTGGGGGAGTGTATGGTGGAACAAAGCTGCTCACTTCATGGTGACTTCTGGGAAGGAGAGGGAGAGAAAGAGAGAGAGAGAGAGAGAGAGAGAGAGAGAGAGAGAGAGAGAGAGACAGGCGAGAGGTCCCACCATGACCTAACTTCCTTCCACTAGGTTCTACTTCCATTGTTTCTACCACATCCCAGTAGCAGCACAGCACAGGCTGGAGACCAAGTCTTTAGCATATTGGTCTTTGTGGAGGGTCATTTAAGATCCAAACCAAGCTGGGCCTGGTGGAACACACTTGTAATCTTGCATTTGGGGGAGGCATGAGGATCCCAAGTTGAGGCCAGCCTGGGCTGCATAACAAGACCACGTCTCAAAAAACCAAGCGCTGGGACTGGTGGAATGGCTCAAGTGGTAGAGCGTCTGCCTACCAAGTGCAAGAGATTGCATTGAATGGATAATCCACATTTTCTTTATCCAGCCATCATTTGCACTGTTTCCACCTTTTGGCTATTGTGAATAGTTTATTATTCCTTCTTCGTTCACTAAATCTCAGTTCACTGGCCTTCTTCCTATTGCTAAACTTGTCAAGCTGCTTTCTGCCTCAGAATCATTTTTATATTTATCATTCCTGGCTGTGTAGAACGCTCTTCTAGATCTCTCCACAGCTCTCTTGTTCTCATCCTTGCGGTTCAAATATCACATCCTCAGAGAAGCCTTCCAGGATCACTGTACATATACATATATATGTGTACATGTATATATGTATATGTATGTATGTGTGTATATATATATGTACAAATATATATATATACACACACACACACACACACACACACACAATCTTGGGGGGTTGAACTCAGGACCTCAAGCTTGCTAGGCAGGCGAGTTAGCACTTGAGCCACTCTGCTAGCCAATCGCTGTATCTCAAGTGCCTAGTCCCCAGTCACTTTCCATTCTACTATCCTATTGTAGTGTCTTCATAGTGCATGTCACCGTCTGAAATGAAGCACTGTCTAAATAGAGTGGAGGTTCTTTTGTGCCATTGACCCCTTTACTAATCTAGTATAGCCCGTGGGCTCATTCTCAAAATAACAGTTTTGAGTGCCTAAAATGTACCAATACAGTTACCAAAACTATTTAAAAACTCGGTTTAGTTGTTTTTGTGCTTTTCTGCCAATTCCTGAAATAACAGTATCTATTTGTAGGCTTAATAATTATTATAACTGAGAAGTTAGGATGAGCATAAATGCTATTTTTAGATATTTGGAACCACTGGCTGGGAAAGAGAAAATCTCAGTGATTTCTAGTGGGTGTGAAATCACAGATGCTGAATCATTTCTATAGGTTGCTATCTCCATTTGTAACCAAACTGCTAAACTTTAGCCAGGGATTAGTGACAAAAGTGCACTTTTTTTTCCTGTCCAAGTTCATGGGTTCTCTGAATTCTCTCCACGGGCCCCTTGGAGGTCCATGGACCTCAGGTTAAGAATACCCATCCTTTTTTTTTGAGACAGTCTCTCTACTAGCCCAGGCTGGGATTATAGGAATGTGCCATTATGTCTGGCAAAACACCTGTTTTAAAAGGGAAAAGATTAACTGTAGTGATGAGCAAGGTTAGAGTCTTTTGGAGCTGTTTTTTGCTGGAGATGGGAAGAGACTGTAGTAAGCCAGGGAATAAAGAGCTAGGAGAAGCTGTCCTCTGAAGTCGTCCGTGGAACTTGAGTGAGGAACATGTAGAAAGGTCCAGCTGAGAAGGCCATGAGAAAAGTAGCATCTTTGAAGGACACCCAGGTATCCCCTAGAGGAAGAACGAGTTGGTGAGGAGGTTCTATGGGAGTAAGGATTTTGTTTGTCATGGAGTGGAGTCCAGTGAGCACAGCAGAGGAGGCAGAGATGGCCACTGTGGGACAGTCAGCCACAGGGAGGGGAGGGAAGCAGGGTAGTAGGTAGAACCCTTATTGTATTCCAGACAGCAGGCCAGACACTGGGGATACAAAGAAACTATGACAAAGATGAGTCACCCATTTCAGATTCCTCTAAACCAAACCCTAGTGTCTGATTGGCTGGTTTGACTGGTCTGATCCATGCACCTTTTCAGAGACTCTGAGAGCCAGAGCCAGAGGCAGTAGCAGTTAAGATGAGCATGGGTATCACTGGAGGTTTAAGGGGAAAAAGCTAAGAAAAAAACCCTCTTTTTCCCCGCTGTGTTCCTTTTTGCAAAGCAAAAACATGAAGAAAAAAATGAAACAGTTCCATAAGCAGATCATTCAAACTGGCCAACCCCCCTCAAATTAGATGAGCCTAGGGGATGCATCCCCACCCTCAGTCTTCAGTCTGAATTCTTCAGGAACCTTCTAAGGATCTTTGCCATCAAGCAACCCTTTGATGCTATTACCCTTCAGAACAGTGATGGCTCAGGGATCAAAGGAAGGAAGAAAGGACTATATTTTTAGGTTTTTCTTTGGGGCTCCAGAGACACCCTGCATGCACCTGGATCTCTTCTCTGTGTGTAGCTCTCAGAATCTAGGATGTTGTGATTTTTTTAAATGCTGTTTTCTCTTCTCAACTAGGGGGCTCTTTCAAAACGGATCAGGTTGGGGGCTGCTGCAGGTGGGAGGCATTCGTTGGGCCCAGCTCCTTCTTTGATCATGTTCCATTCTAGCAGTGGTATCTGAAAATTCCCTACCCTGGGGCCAGGGAACAAAACTCTTCTTCCCTGAAGGAAAGCAGCCCCTCCAATGAAGAGGCAGCATACAGACTGGAAGATGAGAGCACAGGCAGGGATGAAGCTGAGCTGACCTACTTAGAGCAGAAAGGCACTGTATGTAGGGGTGGCAGGGATGTCCTGGTCAGGGACCAGGGCAGGAAAGAGGGAGGTTTCCCAGGGAGGCTTAGGATTGGGAGGAGAAGAGGGCTGACTATTGTTTAAGAAGGTTTGATGAACTAGGCGTGGTGGCAAAGGAGGATGGCAAGTTTGAGAGCAGCCTTGGTTACATAGTGAGACCCTGTCTCAAAAAAAAAAAAAACCGGATGCTGGTGGCTCTCGCCTGTAATCCTAGCTATTCAGGAGGCAGAGATCAGGAGGATTGCAGTTCGAGGCCAGCCCGGGAATAACCCACACACACAAAATAATAGGCTGAAGGAATGGCTCAAGTGATAGAGAACCTGCCTAGCAAGTGTGAGGCCCTGAGTTCAAACCCCAGTATTACCAAAGGAAAAAAAATAGGGGCTGGGTGCTCTTGCCTAGTAAGGGCAAGGTCCTGGGTTCAAAGCCTATCACCTCCAAAAGAAAAAAATAATAATAAAGAAGCATTGGAGGAAATGAGAACCACAAAAATATGTGGACCTTGGGGGAACTGAGTGGAGGGCTCCACTCAACTCAGCAAGATTTCACAGGATGGGCCAAGGAAAGGACTCGTGTACCCAGCTTGCAGCCTAGACATGGTAGTGGGAGATGCAGGAAACTGGCAGGGGCTGATCAGGGAAGGAAATGAGCCTAAGCACAGATTGTCTGAGGGCCCGTGCCTTTCAGGAGGACACAGTCCATCTGAGCCGACACCAGTCCTTGTGAAGCAACAGCAAGCAATCCAACATCACATTTTTTATGCTCCTGGGTCACAGAAGGGGTTTTTGAATTAAGGGGGGAAGGCTATAGGCAGGAGGTAGGCCTTAAAACAGCCCTGAAGTGTGGGAGAGCAGGGTTGGGATGAGGAGAGAGAAATGGGCATTCCAGAGTGAAGGTATACAGGTGGGTATAAACTGGGCTCATGTGGAAACTGAGAATGTAGCCAGGCTAACAGGATTGGAAGCCCACTGAGGGGGGATAGAGGAGTCCAACAGGATGAGAGAGAGTCTGATTCAAGAAGGCACTTTACATTTCTAAAAGGGACTGTGTCAAAGTCCAAGTTTTGGATGGAGTGCAACCATTTCTCTATTCTCCACTCTAGCTACAAACCCATCGTGGAATTCATCGATGCACAATTTGAGGCCTACCTGCAGGAAGAACTGAAGATCCGGAGAGTGTTGCACACCTACCACGACTCCCGAATTCACGCCTGCTTGTACTTCATCGCCCCCACAGGTCATTCGCTGAAGTCTTTGGACCTAGTGACGATGAAGAAGCTGGACAGCAAGGTATGAGGTGGGGTGAGGGCTGGGGAGGAGGCTCGAGCAGGGAGTGGCTGGGAGGCTGGGTGAGCTGGACTCACTCATACTGACCTCTTGTACATAGTAGATACCAGACTCCAGAAGAGGTTTTCATGGCATCTCATCTTCCCCTGTCACTCCATAAAGTTGATCTTATTGATCCAGCTCCGGGGTTACGTGCTTTGTCATCTGGTTTCCCAGCACTGGGGATGGGTTTGCCCTGTGCTGTTTTTCTGCACTGAGCCTTCTTGGAAATAAGGATATATACAAGCAAGATGGTTGTCCATATGTAGAGGCACACTCTTTAGTGATGGAAAGGTGTTTTTCTTTGTCCTAATATTAACTGGCATGTCATACGCAAAGTCATACGCAAGCATGACTTTGTAACATTTCTTAAGCCCTTGTTATGTGCCATGACTGAACTGAGTACTTCCTGGAGCATCTCACCTACTCCTCACAACATTGTGAGGTCAACAGTGTTGTTACCCCATTTTACAGAAGAGGAAGCTGAGATTATTAGAGGTTGTGACTTGCCTGTTGTCATGTAGCTAGTGGTAGAGTTTAGATTTGAACCCAGATCTGTGACTCTATGTTATATTGTCTTCATGCCTGAAAAAGATGGTTGGGGAAAGCAGGCATTTCCTGCTTTTCACAGAAACTGAAAAATGCAAGTCCCACACCATAAATAAAATTAGGCAATGATTCTTTGTGTTAAAGGATTCTTTGGTATACAAACAAATTGACCATTAAGATTCTTT